TTTCCCTAGGTAAATCCCGCCAAACTTTTCAAGTGGATTCGATTTTCGAAATCGGAGTTTATTCGTGTTTTATATGTGGTGTTTTATTCGTTTGGATGATTGCTGGAGCACTTTGATTCATTTATTGATCTGATAGTTAATAACAGAGGGATTGATGATATAATGACTTCGATAAGGATTGCTGGTGGAAGATATTGATGATTAGGTCTGGATTTGTTTCATGAATAACTTGCCTGATTGTAATTTTGGATGGCGATTTATTTAGAATTCTGATTTGTATTTAGGAAGTATTTGGAAAGTTGTTTTCCCAACTTTGAAAGAAGTTGGAGTAAAGTGCCAAAATAGTTCCAAGACTATTTACATGGGCGATTTTAGTTCCTGAAGTGTCAAAATAATTCCTGACTATTTTAAAATTGGGCTGTAATAGTCCTTTGTGGAGATTATTTCAACCTCAATTTAAAGAGTCTAGAAACTAGAACTAAAATGACTCCATATAAATTATTTTTGCACATTACTCAAAGAAGATGGATAGTGAGTACTGTATTTAGAAGAAAAGTTAGTTTAGAAAACATCAATTTGAGGTTTGCAAACGTACAAAACTCTATTTTTTTTGCTTTAAACCTTGTGTTTTTAGAATGGCATCAATGTGGTAAATTCCTATTTTCATGCTTGTCCTTTTTGCTGCCTGGACAGATAGATGTTGATGAGGTTAGGTAAGAGATGGGTAGAAAACATGTGTCCGTACTTATTCTGGTATGATTACTGGTAGATGATGTGATGTCTTTATCTGATCAGATTCTTCAAGTTGAAATGGATTCTTATGGGATTTCCCCAATTGGAATGGAATGTCTTAGAAAAAATAGCATGTGGAGCTTTTTGTTTCAGGTTTTTTACATTTGTGGGATGAAGTATCTATCAAAAAATGAGATTTATTCTCAGATTTAAGAACAAGTTTATCTTATGTTGGGCCCGGCTATGGCTGCCTTTAGTTGGTCTGCCTTGAATCAAGCAAGACATAGCTTAACAACTTTAATTTGAGTTTTATCCAACGAAACATTTATTTCATTTTGATTGATTTTTTTTTTTTCAAGATAAAGTTCTAATCCAACATGCATTCTTGCACTCATTTATACACGTTTTTGTATGTATATATTTGAACCTATGTACAGTTACATAAAAAGATGAATTTGTATACAATCATATATACATGAAGTACATTGTGATCTGATTTTGCGCTATCTCGGTTCAATTCAGGCTAGACTAAAGAGCCAAGTTTGTCTCATTAATTATAGTTAAAAGTTGATTTGATTTTTATTGATATTTAATTTCTTAGAATGATTTAGAAGAAAAAATTATAAATTATTAAGTGATTTTAAAATTTGATCTACTTTAAAAATAAGAGCATACAAAACTCTTAGGGAACTCTATTTTAAATTGTTGTTCTTTAATGTTGTTGAGCTTTAAATATGAGAAGTTTTTATATTTTAGAAATTTGGAGTTGCCATTATTTTGAATTTGAATTTTCTTGTTGTTTTAGAATTTTGATGTGACCCTTCTCTCTGAATGTGACATAATATACATGTCAATGTCATAAAATGACAATTGTCATGGAGTTAATGCATCGCGGCGCACACTTGACTCCATGCCATAGTGCGACACGACGGATCAAAATGGGATGTGCTATTTGCGCCATATATGGGCGATGGTTTGTGATACGTTGCCTCCATTACGCGCACTCAGTTGATTTAATAGATCCAAAATAAAAAATAATGTACATTCAATCAAATCTTATATATTTGTTTATTTAATACCTAAAATTTAATATTTATTGTAGAGCATATCACAAAAATTAATATTGTTTCTTCAAAGTGAAGTACACATTCTTCGTGAATATATTTTAATGTGATTATGATACAAAATGTTATATAAGTAACTATTAAATTTTAGCTTTTGAATATGTAAATACATAAGAATTTTTTGCATGTGCACGCTCCCACTCACACATACACACATATGTACATAAATGGGGCAAAATTTTGCTCACATGATGTCTTTTAATGATAGTGAGTTGGGGTGTAAATGAGTCGAGTTGAGTTCATGTCAGGCCTAACTCAAGCTTTGATCGTTTCTCAAAAATCAAGCTTGAGTCAAGCTCGAGCTCGAGTCGAGCTTAATTGGCGATACAAACAACAAACTCAAGAGCTCGAATGAAATTATCATGGGAGCTCATCAGAGAAGCCATCTAAGTTGAGTGATCTATGGTAGTAGAGAAGGATAAGTGCTTCAGGAGCTCACCTGAGAAGCCATCAATGTGATTGGAATTTTGCGAGTCGAGCTGACTCACAAGCCAACGAATTGAACCTTGATGACCTCGAGCTCGAGCTCGAGCTTGTTTAATAAACGCTCGTGACTCGATAAACTTGACTCGCGAGCTCATTAACGTGTTGAGCTCGAGCTGGCTCAACTCACTTATTCTTCAATAAATAGTTCTATTCGATTGATGACAATGATGATGAAAAATATGCTTTATAAGTTGATAATAAAGTATATAAGGAAATCAGCTTTTTTATTTTCTTACTTATGATGAAGATAATAATTTTTTTATCATCTTTTAATTACTTATGAAAATATTAAACTTATTAAAAAAATCATAATATTTTGAACTTTTACGTATTTGAGGTGATGAGCATTTCAATCTAAGTATTATAATTATTATTAGCATATCCGCATAAAATTTGCAGCAATAAGAGTCATCACAAGTCTGCTGGAGCAAGGGCCAGCCTCAACCCCTGCTTCTGCCTACGGTGACGAGTCCTTATTTTTGGTAGAGATTTGCTCCTACAAAGGTCTCTTTCCAGGCATTTCAATAAGAAGATCACAATTTGAGTACTGTTTCTTCTACTTTTAGTGTCTTAGATATAAAGCAAACTCTATTAGTACCACCCCTGTTTTTCATGCGTTGCAGTGCAGTATTTGCTCAAAACACTAATCTAATTTCAATTTTGTTTTTATTTTACAGTCCTCCACAGCTAAGTAAATTCACCTCTTTTTGAATTAATCTAATACTCATTACAACTTCTAAAGTACAAAAAGATGTATATTGTCTCAAAACTATGACTTCTTCTCCCTTCATCATCATTCATCACCACCTCATTTATTGTTTTGGTTGAAATTTACATATTTACTTTTCTCAAAACCCCTGTTGCCATGTTCTTCATAGATGGATGAGGAGTTCAGCAGCAAATGCACAAGCCAACTCAAGGCAGGTTCATGCCAGCCATGGGAACACTGAGGTGTTGAGCTTGAGGAATAGTGGCACGGGAAAGAGAGCCGGCGAGCTCACAAGGAGATCGTCGAAGACGGACATCTGCGCCGTGTGCCTGGATGGATTTAGAGTGCAGCAGAAGGTCATTTGGCTGCCTTGCGCTCACAGATACCATTCTAGCTGCGTCCTCCCCTGGCTTGCGGATCACTCTCATTGCCCATATTGTAGAACTGAAGTTCCTTCTTTGGAATTGCGTTCTAGTAGTGTTCTTTGACAACAAATGCCGGGAGGAACGGTATGATTCTGCTTGTTTATCTCCATGTCCATTTCTTCTCCTCTATTTCTGTTTTTAGATCTGAATTGTAGTTTAGTTTACTAAGATTTTTATGATTCTGTAAGTGATAGTGGGGCATGAGATTTTAGAGGGCTTTAAGGTATGTATTAATTTTAAGTTTGTTGTGTTTCTTTCTTGGTAATGAAATCGCATATTCCAGTTATGATTGGCTGAATTGAACTGTAGCTCTTCCCATGGATTTGTAAGTTCTTCTGAACGCATTGTTTTAATTCTGAGGGAAAGAAATCGCAAGAATCGACACAAATAAAGAAGAAAACACAAATTTAACGAGGTTCGGCAATTTGCCTATGTCCTGAGGAGCAAAGCTAAGGCTTTTCTTTCAATTCACGAAAAAGAGTACAATCCCGGTTACAATACATCGTTATATATATAACTCTGACGTACAATATATGATTACAAAATTACTTCTATATCATACCGTGGGGCCGTTGCACCGCAACCCACATAACAAAACTTCTCTCGATTAGACAGATGTTTCCGCTCCGCTGGTTCACTTCGTTCCGCTCCAGCATTTGTCCCTTATCTGGTATATGAGTCATACCTAACAAATTCTTTGTTTGGTTGCATCTTAGATTTACAGGAAATAGGATTTATCAAATCATATACATCCGGATTCATCCGATCCCTACTGTGATAGAAGAAATTGCGAGCGACGACAGAATAAATCCGCCACACAATCGAATTTATGAAATCTATATTACCGTCCTAGAAATGACAGAACACGAGAAATTCATGATTAAATCCAATTAATAATATGCTACCAAACTCCTGATTTTCAAATTGATTTAAGTCAATTTTTGGTGTTTTTGTTTAGCTCTTGGTCAAATATATGACATTTTTTTGCGACCTAAGCGGGTGGCTATATTCCTGTGACATAGAGAGTATTTAGATTGCTTGAAAAGCTGCCATTGATGACATTCTAGAGATAACTTAATGTTTACTCTATTTGGACTTCCACCCTTTCGCTAATGCCTCGCCGTGCAGCTTATTGTCACTTCAGAACTTAATTTTAACATTTATTTAATTTCACTAAAACAATTTTGGGCAACAGACATTGCTAGATATCTTTGATACAAACTCATTCCTTGAATATTCATAATTGGTATTTTAAGGCTATTGGCAACTCCAGAAATTGGGTGGGGGAGAAATAAATAGGAGAAACTTAGGGCGTGTTTGGTAGCACATTTTTAACAGGATTTAGTCTTGAATTTAACATGAATCCAGCCAAACACGAAGAAAACAAAAACTAAATCCAACTCTCCGTTAAACCAAATTTATTTTCATTTTATTTTCTCTACAACTGTTTCGTCTGCAAATTTTGATTTAATAAATACCACAGAGAGGCGGATTTAATGGATTTACGTTGTCTTTACTCGTGACCTTCGCTCCCGTTACGAGCTCACTGGAAATCCAGATTTGATAAATCCTACTTAACACAAATCCGACTCTTTATCACTATTTTTTTTGTTCCAATGTCTCCAAATGGTGTCATTTATAAAGATACATTGATTATCAATTTTATAAATATTAGTTTTCTAATTAATTAATTATTCAAGTTAAAAGTTTTCATTTTCTTAAAAGAAATTTTAAGACTATTATGAATATTATTATTAACTTAAAAATATAGTTAATATTAAGTAATTATTAATTATTAAATTGCCTTTTTATCAAACATTGAAACTGAAATGTTACATGCTTGTTTGTAACCATAAAATAAAAATTATGAAAAAAAAAATACTAAATATTTATTATCTTTATTAAAGCTTAAATAATTAACAAAATACATGATTAATTAGAAACTAATAGTTAATTAGTTCTTTATAGTAATTAGATTTTAGTTGAAATCCTTAGGCTACATTATATCTTGAAATCAATTGATGTATGAATAAATAATGATTTATCTAGTAATGCCGATAATAAATAATTATGATTAATAAGACTTTTAATTAGAAGAGTCCTGTTCTGTTATGTATGAGGTTTAAGATAATTTTGATTAGCTTATATTTAAATAATCTTTATTAAAAATAATTAATGTTTACTTACAAATTATGTCAATTTAACATGTTGATAAACTTAAAAAAAATATATTAGATGAATTTCTAGTTCATCTACACATACAAAAGATTGTAATTGAGTCGAGCCGAGTCAAGTAAGTTATAGATTAGAGTTGCATTAGTTAGAAGACTAAGTTTGTGTTTAGCATATGGTAATAGTATTTGTTTTCTTAATTCAAACGCAATCTTAACATCTCATATTAACAAATAACTTAATAAATTTAAATTAAGAAGCAAATGAATAAATCATTAAATAATATCCAATTACATGACTCCAATAATATATCAAAGACAAACATTCTTACAATCATATAACAAAATAAGTTATACTACGCTTGTCAAACTTTAATCAAGCTCTACGTTAAATCATACCAAAGGATTTTAATCTTCTAAATGCAGTGAAATCGTGAGAGTATCCGGACTTGGATTTAGAGGCTTTCACTTAGGGTTTGTTTGAGACGACTATAGTTTTTTCTTTGTAAATGTTGTTGTAAAGCAATGACGGGGAAAAGAGCTTCTTTAAAAACTGTGATGGAAATTATAAATATTTATATATATGTTATTTTAAGAAATGAGGACTTTTCTTGCAGCCACCATATTTTAACATGTTTAGTTGTGAAAAGCAACTTCATACTCCAATAATTTATAGAAAGCAACAAAAAAATAACTTTCTTAATTGAATTGTGACGTAAAACAGGCATAAAATTGTCCCAAATAGACTTTTATTATGTGTTGCCTCTTCATTAACAAACTTCAACATTGGTTATTCATTTAGTTTATTTCTTTCCCTTTACTTCTTTCCCTATTGAAGCTCATCTCAAGATTTACTCACATCTTTACAATGAGGCATTAAAAGTTGAATGTTGTCTTAGGTCACGCAGAAGGGCAAAATGGGAGATGATGAAGGATTGCATCTTACAGGAATTTATTAGTTAGGAAATTGAATGTTTATCTATAAAATGCTCATAATTAAAACTTCTCAATGATAGCCAAAATCATTCTCATATCTTATCATCATTATCAACGTGCCTCTTCATTAACAAACTCCATCATAGCTTATTCATTTAGTATATTTCTTTCTCCATTGACGCTCATCGCAAGATTACTCACATTTTTACGGTGAGGCTTTAAGAGTTGAATGTCTTCTTAGATTACACAAAAGGGCAGAATGGGAGAGCTATAGAGGCCAAAGTTGAGAGCTGCAATAATGTCTGTAGGCCATATAGGCCGGAGTTAGGAGCCGCTTAACTGTGAGTCATGTAAGCAATAGTTTGTCTTGTAAGCCGTGGTGGTGAACTGCAATAACTTCCATCACCCATATTAGCCAGAGTTTGAAGATGCAATAATATTCGTAGACCACAAAGGTTGGTGTTTCGATCTCCATGGGTTGTGATCCATGTAGGTCATAATTTGTTATGTGGTCATAGTGGGGAGCTATAAGAGTGTCAATTGGCTACTGAGGCCGTAGTTGGAAGTTGTGAGTAAAGAATTTTAGGATTCTAGAGAAACTTGAATTATCCTGAGTATGGCGGTCATAAGTTGTTGTCGTCGGGAGTCATTGACAGATCTTCTAATATCATGTTATTTGTTACCCCGTATTCGAGGGTATGTTTTTACATTGGATTCAAAGTGTGTCGTTACATTGTATTCGGGTTGTTTTATTACATCGTCTTCATGGTGTGTCGTTACACCGCAATGTACATCGTGACTCCGCAAGGTGCTTCATTGCAACATACTTCGTTACTCCATGAGGTCGACCAATGAAGACAAGCACGGGAAGTTCAAAGGTGGTCGACAGTGTCCAACGAGCAGTGGTTGATGGTGTTCGGCGAATGGTGGTCACCGAAAGTCGGTGGTTGTGGGGGCAGGAAGTGTTCATCAAGCCTTTTTTATGGTTCTATTTATAGAGTCTAAGTGACCTTACTGCACACAAGAAAGAAATTCGAACCACTTCATCAAATGACCTAGAGAGATTCCCATGATCGAATATTTTTTTTGTGGATACTTGTCTTAACTACATCAGAAATGAGTCAGTTTGGGCTTGTTGGGCTCGTCTTATTAAGACACTCAATTTATCGGATACTAAATAAATTAACTTATACTATTTATATGATAGTTCCTATGCGACGCAAGGAGATAGCGACATCATTGCTTATTATAGAAAACTCTCAATTTTAAATAATGATACAAAGTACAATTCATTCACGAAGCGGCGAAGGAAGGAGAGAGAAACATGACCAGAAAATTTTGGGGCCTATTAATCGCACCTCACCATCATTGTCAGCCGCCCACCGGTCTACAGTGTGGAATAGTCTAATGAAATCATTTTTGTAAAGGAGCAATATATACATAACATCTAATTCTTCTGGTATTTACATGTTTAATATTTAATTTTTATTTCCTATGTTTATATCATACAAATCTTTCATAAGTAAAATCTACTTTTGGTGGCATGTATGCAAAAGTTTAACTTTAGGTGTTTGATATGTAAATACATAAATGTTCAATGGTATGAATGTAGAAATTTTTTTTTATCAAATAAACATATATCAATTTTATTGGGTCTACATAGAGAATATGTGATCATGAATCTTGGGGAAAAACTGAGAGTCTTTTTAAGGGTAGATGCCAACTTGATAAATCAAACACAAAGTCAATTGTTACGAAGATGAGTATGTGACACGAATCGAGCGGCTCGCTCCGACACAAGACAAATGATCATTTGAGCCTAACACCTCGACACAACTAAGTTCGAGGAAGGATCTAATCTTCTGAACCTTATGAGTACACCAGGGGCGACCGACAACCATCACCCAATCATATTAAGGGCAGACTACTTTGTCAGATTACTATGATTCACTCTCT